AGACTTTTGTGCAAAATGGCTCCCATGAAATCTGGTCTCCTTCAAAATAACTGAAAACTCTTGTATTTCAGGGCCCTGACACATCACCTCCTGAGCTGAGCACAGTCTTTAGGGGCTCACTCTCAGGTACTCACCATGTTGGAGGCAGCCACAAGAAGGCCCTCTCTATCCAAAAACCCCTTTCTCTACAGAACATGGGCACCCCCCCCCCAGCAAGAGAAATTAAGCAAGAGCAAGTAAGTGCCACCTCACCCCAAGTGGACAGGGCCCCAGGGGTCACAGGCAGGTCAGCACTGAAGGAGAAATCCAAATGAAATATAAACACGGTATTGTGGAAAGCAGACCAATCTCCCCAGCTCTCCAGCCAGCATTAATCTCGGCATCAGCTGTGGTGCATAACCTAAACACACAGACCAGGCGGCTCATACATCTGGAAGCTGTCATCTCCTGGAAGCTCCAAGCGGCGCTGGATGCATCTGAAACAGCCCATGACCCAAACTGGCTTATGAAAGAACTTCTTGGTGGGTCGAGAATGGTGGGCAGCCCAGAGATGGGGTCAGGGCTCACCAGCTACCCCCCTTTGTGAGGAATACCTGAGCCACCTGCTCATTTTTTTCAAGCAGTTATTGGCGGCTTTTACTTGTCATTCATCTTTTCTCTGAGAAGAAAAGGAATACCAACAACTTGGTTGCAACCCTTTCCTGTATGTACACTTGCTCTTTGAATAACCATACTTGTTCATCAAACTGTGCAGACACACACATACACAGTGGTGCCTTTGCAAACCCAATTAGACTGGCAAAGCACAGGTCTCCTACCCAGGCATTTATCATCCAATGGGGCATCTAACAATGAATGTGAATATGCTGACCTGAGGAGCACAGTGCGGCTGGGACCCAGTGGGTAGAACCCGAACACCCTATGGGGTGCAGGGCCTCTCACAGTGGAGGATCACACAGACCCAAATGGCAAGAGTGCAAAGGCTGAGTGAGGAACTGAAGGATGATGGCTCTAACTGTGCAAAGTACACAGAAAGCACACAGCACAGACTTGACAGTGTGATTGCCCATCAAATAAGCATTTTTTAAAAAGCAAAAATCTTCTATTCCTCTTTAATAAATTCTCATCCTCTCTCCACCCCCATACTGGCCTTACAGCCCTTAATAACCAAACACCAGAGCAATATGGAGTCATTTCAAGGTTGTTGCCCTTTTCAGAAAAGAGGGCCAGGCGCTGGCTAAGCTTTTATCTTGGGGAGATAAATGAAGATTCTGTCACAGGAGTACCTTGACAACAAACTTGTGACAGAGAGCTGGAGGGGAGGGAGGGAGTATGCAAAGGGAAGCAGATATTAAGGAGAGCAGGAGGGCAGATTGGCTAAGTCAAAAGAAATACCATTGAGAAATGGGCACAGTTTAAAAATAAATAACAAACAAACAAACAAACAGCCAGTTCCCTTCAGCACCCTGAGAAGCAAATGCAAACACTTCTGGTATCAGGAAGGGTACCAGGAGTTAATTAAGAATCACAGATCCAGGGCAGCATCTTGAAGAAAGAGCCTGCAGGCCCCTCCCAGACCTTCCAAGCCACCAGATGCCCAACCCCCACTTCATTCACTCTGTCACTGGAAGGTTAATACTGAAGGCCACCCACCCAACCACACACACACACATACAATTTTTGAGCCTTCATCCATCCTCTTCTTTCTGCCTAGAATGTCCCTCACCTCCACCTTCCCAAGTCCGGGACCATCCAGAAATCCCAGCTGATTTCCCTAACAACCTGGCAATTAACCATCTATTGACTCATCTATAGACTGTCACCACCCTTTTTCTCAAGAGTTTTGGACAAAGTGCCTGGTGCAAAGTAGGCACAGAGAACTCACACTGACCAAATACTCTCCTTGGAAAAAACAAAACAAACAAAAAACATTTGTGACTCTTGTGTTTATGTGACAGTAGGTCCCCAACGACACCAACGTCTTTATCAAACCTTTTTGGTCCATTCACAAGTAAGCTCTTGTTGACATCTGTGACATGCAAAAAACAATCAGGTTGGCACCTCACAAACAACGGGCAGTGTCTTGAAAGGCAATCATTAAACCAGCATCTTAACAGAATCAAACGTTATCACTTATGCGTGCATAGGCGGTGTGTGGTGTGTACCTGTGAGCAGGGCGGGAGCAAGGGAAACAACGGCTTCATCTTTGTGGTGAAGCCACATTTCTTCAGGAAGCCATGAAGTCAAGGCTGTGGAGGAGACTCCTGCATTTCCTGAAGATATGTATTTTGGCAGACAGAGTGCTCGTGCACAGACGCACATACAAGCACAAAGGCAACTCCTCACAGGCGAAATAGCAGCCTTTCTAAACTGTCTTCCTCCTCTCTTATAATCTGTCTTTCCTCCCTTCTTATGCTTAACTGGGGACATGAGAGACCTCTCCTCATCTTGTTGGGGCGCACAGCAAACTCTCGGCTCCTATAATCACACCCAGGACCTGGAGGAAGCATCAGGTAGCAGATGACTTTGCTAACAGTGATGAAGAACTTATCTAAGAGACTGAAGCAAAGATGGAACCCAAACTTGGGCCTACTGCTCACTGTAATTCACTGACCTCCAGTGCCACCCATAGCCACTGGCATTTATTCCGAAAAGCAAAGGCTCACAGAGTAACACTAAATTCCATAGGCCATAAACAAGACCTCCAGTTACTGTGGCATTGGGTTCCCCACATCCAGTTTAATCTATGAAACTTGTTTCCTGTAGAAGGAAATCAAGAAATAAGTGAATGAGGAGGCCAAGGCAACCCTAGACTAAAGACCTAAACCAATGGTAGGAAAAGTGAACAGGAATGACAATGTGGATGACCACTCCCAGTCATTATCTGAAAGGGTCTCGGTACGTCTGTTATACGGAACATCATATACATATATACGATCATGTTACAAAAAATTAAAGTAGTAGGTACTTTACTAAGTAAAGGCTTGCAAAAAATACATACTACCTGGAGTATGGTGGTTGCTCAAAAGCATTAAGTGTTCCCAAGAGCAATGAGCTGTACTAAAATGCCAATGCAGGAAGGAGCTAAGATCTGAGCCTGGAGTTGGGGAGTTGGAGTGGCTCAGAGAAGGAGGGTTTGCCTATCATGCTGGTACCCCAGGTTATCCCCTGTATTAGCTGGGGGGAGGGGTCCTTAAGATGCCAAAAGCAGGCCAGGGTGTGTCCTAGCCTAGTAGGGCGTGTCCCCCTCACTGAACACCTTCCCACTTAACCTGGAGTCCCTCTTCATAACTCTCCTGTCATTCTTGAAACAACTGCTCCAACTACTAAAAACCAAATCGTTGCATGGTCACTGGTGTAGAAAAATCCTACTGTGGACCCTGGAACTCGGCTTCTACACTGCAGGGTCTTTCCCCGGTCTTGCAGGCAGTGGCCTGTTCTACTGCAACACCCTCTTGCCTCTTGTCTCTCCAGTACCCCAGCCTGCCTCAAGACCTCCACTAAAGTCTCTTTTCTCCTAATTTAATTTTCATGGACCAGCTCAAGTGTAAATCTAAATCCAATGAAAATGCACTGGATTCCAGTAGGCTGAGGCACAGGGCACTGGCACTGGGCAGTGTCTCCTATCATAGTATAGAAACTCAGGAAATTTGTTGCTAGGGGACTAGTGGGTGCTCAATAAAACTATTCCCTGAACTACCAATGACAAGGAAGCAAAGTGGAGTAAATTACCTAATGGAATCAATCCAAAAGACACTTTTGTATTCATTAACCAAGCTGCTCAAGGCAGGAATGCGTTCTGCTTTTAACGATTGGGATTATTATTTTAATTGTCACTTTTCAACTATTATTTTAATTGTCACCTTTCAACTAAATACTCCACCACTAGTTTGCAAAACACCAAAAGGGGAAGGTTCTGGAAGGTTAGTTTCCAAGACCATCCTGAGGAATTACTCAAAAACTCCGCTTTCCAAGTTCTGTCCTGGGTGGTAGATAAGCACCAGATATTTGGGGTTGAAACATCTGCCCAAAGCAGTGTTTGCCAGAGGCTAAAATGTTTTCAAATAAGGGATTGATACTTTTAAAAGAAATAACTGAGAAACGACCAACGAAGAAGAAAAGGAAAAGAAAGTCTATGATCACAAAGGACGTAAAAGCATTCATGGTGGTGGGGGTAGGGGGAACCGGAGAACCTATTTTCAATTTACAAGTCCTTTTCTAAAGCAGGTCCCCAACCCCCCAAATCGAAGAACGTGGATAAAAGACCGGCACACACACCCCAGGGGGAGCTCCCGTCGCCCCTCCCATCAAACCTGCATTCTTTAAAAAAACACATTTCTTTCTTGCAAGACTGCCAAACACAGCCTCCCCCCGAATAATTCCATTTAAAAAGTCCCCATCCGCGAGGAAACATTAATCTACTTTGCAAACACGCTTTCCAGTTTGTGCTTTACTATTTTTTCTTCAATCCCCCCACCGCCCCCTTTTTTTTTGTACCTTGAGACAAATGTTTTTTTCCCCCAGAGTTGAAAGCTGTCCAGAAACACTCCCTGCAGCTAGAGGGGTGGCCTTGCCCTCCACCCCCTCTCCTTTCTCCGCAGACGCGGTGGGTGGGTGGGGGGAGGGAAGGAAGCCTATCCCAGCATCCCAGATCCAAGAGGCCTTCCTCCGGCCGCTGGCACCCTGGCCAGAGCCAGGCGGGCGGAGCTCCCCCCCCCCCCCCCCCCGCGGGGCCCCCCCGGCGCGGGGCCCCCCCCCCCCCGCCACTCTCTCCCACCACACCTAGCAAGGCGCAGCGCCCCGAGTAGATTACAGCGAGGCCTTTGTCGGGCGGGCCTGGCTGCAGGCCAGGCATGCAAACAATAAACAGTCGCCCCTGGTGCGGGCAGGGGCTTCGCTGGCCACGGCGAGGCTCTAGGTGCAGGCTGGCAAATATCTTTATCAAACACTGGGAAGGGAAGGAAGACAGAGGACGCGCCAGCGGCGCCGGGGTCTCTTACCTTCCACCCACAGCTCCTCCACGTTGGTCTCGAGATTAGCTGCCTTTAATCCCACAGCGAAGGCCCCAAATATGAGGAGACCCACAACCAAAAACTTGCCGCAGTTTTTTTGAATGTAACAACCCAGTTTAAATAAGAGTCTCTGAAACTTCGCTCTCAGCCACAGCGGTGCTTTCCGGCCGGTAGCCTTCCCCTGGGGACGAAGCAGAAGGGAGGAGTGAACGCC